CGCGCTGTCTGACCCGTTTCTGCGCATGTTATATATCGGGTAGATGTTCAGGTAGGGACAAGTCCGTCAATAATTGGCGTTGCTCGACGAAGACGAAAATAACTGAGACTATTGAAGTTCAGGCACGCGTGTCATAAGAAATCATACCCTTATTCGTATTCTAGTAACTCAATATCCAAAATACCACATGTGCTTTATGGTTATTCTCGTGCTGATGTGTTTTCTTTTGGATCCTTTAAGTCAGTGTAAATAATGTTTATGTTTGTCACTTTTAATCTTTTTATTTGTCACACTTTCCACAACGTGTTCATTGTTCCAAGGCTAAGCCTGTTTTCAGGATACTAACAGTCAAACTTGTCAACAATATTTACAACATTTAAATATTTCTCTCTGCCAGATATATTACATTCAGACTATCCGTGTCATTCATTACGTTCCCTCTATAGGATTCGCCTCCTACATGTACATAAAATTAATATGTATATCATTTTTGACAATGGATGGAATAGCGATGTACCCTGGTATGGTGAAATTAATTAATATCATACTACTTCGAAATCTAGTCTCTAGTGTTTCCCTGGACTTATCTGTTATCAATGTCTTGAACATTTTTGAAATATTTTTAGGAAGGAGATGGCTTACATTTGCTGTGGTGGGGTTTTGATTTACAGTAAAGTAGCATATGATAAACGTATAGTTGATCTTCGTTCCAATGATTAGGAATTAATATGGATTGAAATGACCAAACATAATGAACTCATTCCTCTTGGTTTTTTATGATAGACCTGACAAAAATCTTGATAGCATGGAGAAATACTCCTGGTAGGAGAAAATAAATCTCGGCCTACCAGAGTTACTTCTCTAAGTCAACACCTCTTGATTTGATATTAACTAACAACTTAATCATCGTTACTAACAGCACACTGCATCCTCCATCTTGTAGTATTCATTATCCCGTAAATGCCGGAACAAACATAAAACAATTAAGAAATAAAACGTGCATATGAGAGGAACATACTATCCTTCAACATTAACTTCGGTCAGTTACCCGGGATGTAGAGTAAAGGGTGACATTTAAAATATGAATTTCTGTCTTTATTGGGAAAACCATGACTGTTATAGATCTAAATGTACCCCTTGAAACAGTAACTATTATTATTCTAACGATAAAATTGGGATGCCTAATGACATTCAACTGAAAATCAGACATTGAAATCGTCAGCACTATATAATTAAGCAATACTCCGGCCACCTGGACCAAATTTAGAACCATTCGGAATGAAATCATTTGTGTTTATACGTGAAGCTAAGGAAAAGATATCTTCCTAAATTACAATCTTAACTTATGGATAAATCTATAAAAAGAAAGAGAAAGAGAAAGTTGTAATTTAAGATTGATATCAAATCTCTTGAGATTATACATATTACATTTTTACGTATGGTATGCGCAAAGTTTACCCACAGAGAATGCGACGTTTTGGAGTCAACCTAGCTGGAAGCAGCACGTATCATGAAAAGTTTAAGACTGGGAACTAACTATAATATTCTATATAGTTAAACTTGCACCTAGTAAAAAAGGCAATCGCATCAAAATATTACTTAATGATTTTTAACAACAACGGTCAATTTCATGTTTCTTACTGAATTCAACCCTATATCATTAATTTTGTAAATTGTATATAATACACTTTTGTTGATGTTCCAATGCCGAGAACGAATTTATATAGAACAAGTTTTTAACCAAGCTTATGTCAGAACTGAACGATCCAACTTGTCTGTGTCCTCTTTTGGAGCTCTCAAAAAGGAATGTTTACAATTTTTATCTGATATTGGATTGCAAGCCCCTGTGTTATACTGATTTCCAATATCATGGTAATAGACAGTTTGATACAGAATTGTGTCAGTTAAGACAGTGCCACATATTGTTATTCAGGTTGTAAGGGGACTGTCACTCTACTGTGGACTTTGTTGTTACCCCGACCCACTCACCCTCCCGTGGTAAATATTGAGCTATTAATACCCGTCCGTTGAGAACTTGAGTGTCAACAACCGTCAATACTGTTTGGCTGGTGAATAATAGATTAATATTTTAACCATGATTATAGATTATATTCCTCAATATAGTTAATTTAGCATCTCAATAGAAGTCATTATTTGCAAAAGGAACGTACCTGTATACAAATACATTTCCCGAACAATTATTCATTTTTTCACTAATTCAGCCATACACGCGATTTTGGTTTGAAAATTTTTCAACTTAATTATACACGACCATTCAGAGTATTACGACACGAATGATTTTTGTTGAGATAGCTTACCTTTATTATTATTTAATATAGGGTGACAGGTAGAGTCAGGTAAATTATAATCCTCGGCTGCCTGTACTTTGAAAACATGTTAATCTAAGGTCTTTCTTCATCTTACAACTCAGTGAAATCCTTCTGTATGCATGCATTTATATAAAGTCAGATAAAGTTACGAAGTGTTATATAAATGCACGTAAAATGCCCACACATGTGTGTGTGTGTGTGTGTGTGTGACGATCAATTTCAAATATAGTATCTGGGTTCGATCCCCGAAGTCGTACGCATGGACTATTCAGAGAAAGTGTTTTTTCTCCTGTCCACACAACTCCAACAACGCAGGTGCAATATAAAATGGTCTGGGATGGATGCTGCGGTATCTGCGCTGTAGCATTCAAGTGTGATGTCACTATAAATGATGCTGTTGGAAGCACGGCCCTACTACAAACATAATATAAAGCATCTCCAGCACACACGTATGCATACACACATATGGATATAATAGCAAGGTGGCATAGGACTAGTAATTCGCGCGTGATAAGGCAGCTCCTGCGAATTTCTCAAAATTGTTAAAAATTAATGTATATGCTAATTGTATTGATTGTATAAATTGTATATATATGTACTGTAAAACGCTTTAGAGTGGCTTAATAGCTAGATGGGGCGCTTTATCAAATGTTGTGTATTATTATTATTACACAAATTTATTACTCTGTAATTGAGTTCCCACCTCTGTAATATATGCTGCCGGGTGGATTATTCCTACTCTTTACAGGTAGGAACAAGTTCGTCAAACATTGTAGTCGCCCGACGGAAATAATTGTGCCTATTGAATGTCAGGTTATGCGGGTCAGAAGAAATCATACACTATTTCTTGCGAAGCCTGCTTTCAGAATAATAACAGTCAGACTTGTCAACAATATAATCAACATTTAAATATTTCTCTATGCCAAATATACTACATTCAGAATATCGGTGTCATCCATTACTTTTCCTCTATACAGATTGGCCTCCTACATGTACATATGTATATCACTGTTGACAATGAATGGAATAGCGATGTACCCTGGTATAGTGAAAATAATCAATGTCATATGAATTCGGAATCGTGTCTCTAGTGTTTTTCTGGACCAATCTCTTATCAATGTAATTTTTTGAAATATTTTTAGAACGGATAGGACTAACAATTCTGGTGGTGTGGTCTTGATTTACAGTAAGATTAACATATTTACTACACGTAGAGTTGATCTTGATTTCAATGATCAGGAACTGATATGGATTGAAGTAACCAAATACAATAAACCCGTTCTTCTTGGTTGTTTAAACAGACTCCTAACTCTCTCGTACGCTTTTGGGATAGACTTGACAATTATTTTGAAAGCATTGTTTAACTATAAGGAGAAATACTCCCTGTTGGAGAAAATAAAGCAGACTTTTTTGAATTTTAAGCTGAGTTCATAGGCTTTTATTAGAATATGGATGAGATAATACTGTTACTCGGCCTACCAGAGTTACTGCTCTATAGTCAACACCTCTTGATGTAATAGTAACTTAAACTTTAGCTTAAACCTCGTTACTAACATCAAAGTGCATGCTCCATCTTGTAGTGCTCATTGTCCCGTGAGTGCCGATATAAACATTGTACTTAATATCTGTACAATAAAATATTCTGAAATGAAAAGCTAACAAAAGTAGACAGAGACTCAGCAGGTAGGAGCAAGTATAGGGGGGGAATGGGGCTCCTACAACACCTGATCATGTTGCCAGATTTGAGCTGATTACCAGGAAGCTAACTACCGCTTAAAAATCTAAGTTAATTCCATGAAAACGTTAAAAAGAAAGTGAAAGCAGACATCGCCAGGAAGAGTCCGGTACGAATAACGTGATGAAGATGCGAATTAGTCTGGTCGCGTGGGTTACAGAGGGTATAATGCAAGTGATCTGAGCTGATTCGAGGACTCTGAAACGGACGACAGAATATGACAGATTTACAGGGATCTGGTGCCTTGTTACAGGTGATTTGTATGAACTTATCCTGATATTTAGAGAATAATATTAGACGTTTTAAGGGTTCGATAAATTCCCCTCCTTAAATCAACCCTACTTATTCTCATCGCATCATACATTATATTTCTGGTTGATGTACAAACTATCTTGGTTCTGTTGATAAGATTTCTCTAAAAAACCTCCTATATGCAAGCAAAAGGTATTCTCCTTCCACAGACATGATCACCTTTTCCTCCGAAAACACACACCATTTCGATCAAAGTTGTTCTCAGTGATAGAGCCACCTTTACCATATTCATGAGGTTGACGTCATGTTGTAACGACAAACTTGCGGTCCTGTTGGCTGGCGAATCTATACAGATTACGCAACATGTATTTACAAGGCTGTGCGATGTGTTCGCTCGAGCATGACGGTAACCACAGGAATATGAAAACAAAAGTGTATTTCACTGGGAAATTCGGAGTAAACGGAGGTCTTGTCGTAGAAATGTTTGGGTCCCTGTGGACAGATCTAGCTAACAACTGCAGACGTCGGTCACACATAAAACAGAATACCCGAGATCTTTGTATATGCTAATATTATGAAAAGAACTTCAAGGTAAATATAACATAACTCGTACAAAACGACTGACTCGACGAAAAGTATGACTGAAATGTAACATTTACATTAAAGAATATATCTGTACTCACACTGACTTCTCACAAGGAAATGGACAATGGCAATGCTATATACGTTGGCGTGAGTAGTGTCCGATCCCTCAGAAGGCTGGATCTGTAATGGAATCAGGAATGACCGACCAGGAAATGACATGCGCAAACACTCACCCATTGATCCAATCTGATAAGCTCATTCATATACCTTTGTGTGACGCAAAATGTATATTTGGAAACTTACCCGTTAAGAGTCAATCAACTGTAACCTTGGTAAACCCACAAATAGGTTTCATATCATAAGATTGTATACCACCTTTCTCGCAAAAGACGACCAGATATTTAGTCAACAGTAGTCGAGAGAATCATATTTGAAGTTACTGTACATGATCGTATATTGACCTTTGTAGGAGCCGTTGGTACCGTTGGAAAGATGGATAGTTGTTCTTTTGGAAACCTACATGCATGCAAAATGTATTCACCTTCCGTTCCCCCCGAATTCATATGCTATTTCGATCAAAGTTTGTCCAAGGGATAGAGCCTCTTTTCCCATTTTCATGAGGTTGACGTCACGTTGGAACGAACATGTCGGCTGGTGGATATATGCATATTATCCTACATATCTTTACAAGCTAGTGCAACTGAAAGTTTTCGCTCGAGTATGACGGTAACCTAATAAATTTGAGAAAAGTTGCTCTAGCGATGATTCTTTCTTGATAAAAACAAACTCTCAGCCCTTAACTGTTGATGTAATCTTAAGCAAGAGCACAACTTGTGATGCCCCGCCATAAAATGGCGGGGGGGGGGGGGGGGGGGGNTGTCCCGTCCCGTCGCGTCCCGCCCGATTCAATGTAAACACCCGTCCTGTCGCGTCCCGTCCCGAATCCATGTAAACACTTAGCAACTTCATTCTTTCACAGATTTTGATCAAACTTTATACAAAGGTACAACCGTCCATAAAATGAAGGGGGGGGGGCTATTATACATAATAAATTAAAACAAACTATCACGTGTGCCAATCCAGAGAGCAGGTGATTGGGACAGCCCCTACCTAACAAACTCCTGGATGTTGTCCTTACATATTAAATACTATAATAGTTAAAAGGTTCCTTTTACATTTACTGTCTTAAAACATGATGTCTTTAAAAAAACAATAACAATGGTGATAAATTAAATGAATGATTTCCTAGTTCTGCATTGTAGTGAAATTTAAGTTTCCAAGGGTTCGGGAGCCTCCTACCAGCGAGGTATGCTAAATTCACACTAACTAGTAGCTAATCATAATTTAAACTGAAGATTATTTTCATAATTATTTTTCTGATTGACACCTGGTATCATATTTAACAAATGGATAAAATAGAAAATGTAATTGTATATGATATTCAGCCTAAAATGGCTTACAAGACACTGTTTAAAATTATAACTTATCACATAGACTGCTACGTCTTCTGTACATATTATATAAGTGGTTTGCAAGTGGAATTTTTAACTCCTCGGAAGACATTATAAAATTAAATTTGTCATTGTTATTAAGACTTGCAAAATAATTTCTTATATTATTTGCTACATTAAATAAGGATGATCTTATGTCATTATATAAATCACATTTAATTAAAAAGTGTAATTCATCCTCTATGCAGTTATTTACATTTGTATATACCTTACACAAGCGTTCCTCTAGTGGAATCACAGGTTTGGCGTATCTGCCAGTTTTCACTGCTAGAGGTAGAGAGCCACATTTAAAATTAAAAAGTACTCTTCGTTTGCTCTTTTGTCTAACAAGCTTGACATATGAATCTGGTATTAAATTTGATTTGAAAGTTCTGTAAGTTCTCAACTTGTTACCATTTATATTACCACTATCATTCCATATAGACTCGTACCATTCATCAGCATCTGAAATGAATAGTTTTTCTTTCACTCGTCTAATATTGTGTTTAACAGAAAACGTTGAGTTTAAAATTTCATTCAAATTTTTGTCATCAATCATTTTCAAAATTCTAGAATCCCAAGATTTCTGCAGACTAACGGACCATAGATGCCCCTTTTTCATGAGTCTGTTATCATCACAATACTTTATTCTGAAAAATAAACGTGTCGTTTCTAAAACTTGACTTACAGTGCAAGAGTGCCACCACATATCACCTCTGAGTGCTAAGTCACTTGGTCGACGGGAGGCTCCTTTAAAATATCTACTTGCCTTGTGTAGGATGACAGAAACCTCTCGGTATTTATTTATACCACATAATCCACATCCATAAAAAAGAACCGGCTCAATTAAAGTTTTATTTAACTTGTTAAATACTTCATAGGATATTTCACCGGCATGTGGATACTTTATATATAAAGTTGTAAGTGCTCTACTAGCAGAGTTCTCTGACAGCATTGACAAATCCACCGAGAGAAGAAGGTCTTGGACACCATTGTATAATAAACATGGTGGGCCAAAGGGTTATTAAATAACTTACTTATGGGATCCATGGTGCCAAAGGATAAAGTCTATGCGGGACCGCAGAAGTCTCTGGAGGACCTTTGGGCCGTTAACCGGTGTACAAAAGGAAGACAAAGGAACCATAAGAGCACGAAGAATGCAGAATAAACTTAAGATCTACTTGTTAGTTTGTTCTCAACATGTCAGTGTATGTAACATGTCACTCTATGCTCACCTATCATGAATATTTACACTTTTAAGGATACCAATGTATATAAATACAACAAACATTCTATTACTTTATATTGACTAATAAGGACATGGAAATAAGGAACCTCAGTTATGTTGGAATATTACACAATTTACAAGCAAATTTTAAATTGTGTCCTCAATTGTATCTTTGCAGGATGTCAATTGTATCTTTGCAGGATGTCGAGGAATCCTTCAATTTGCCCAGGCCTGGGTGCAACAAAGTTTACGCTTTGGAAAGATCCCTACAACAGCCTCTGAGGGATACT